AGTCAGCTTTTGGCAAAAAAGATTAATTAAACTTTAAGAATATCCTTTCTTCCCCTTTAAATCAGAAAACATCTACTAGCAATCATTTCAGTCTCAAAAGCTATACAAGGATTGATAACTTTAAGGGAAGTCTGGAGTTCTGTCACTTTCTTAACAAAGAGAAATCTGGGTGACATTCATCTACTGGCATGTCAGTGCAACAATACATTCCTTCAAAAGTTTTGCATGTGGCTTTTGTGTTATCTGTAAAACATTTTATTAGAACTGTTAGATAAGAGAAAAACAAGGATGTGGAAAAAGTATATGATATCTCCCTAAACTTCCTGTATTATATCATGTATAGAATTAACTGCTATTAAAAAAAAACCAGCTTCCCCAGCCTATCACTTCCCTTATTTACATTTATCTTTTTTACAATCTCTGTTCAGGTGCAACTTTCTTTACTTGTCTCTGGGACCAGCTTCATTTGTGCCATATCTGAATCAAAATCCTTTCCCCATTTTCCCAGTAAGTGGTTGAGAAAAATACATGGCTTGAAAATAAAACTGATTTTCCTTCCACCCTTGTGGGGGGAGTAACTTGAAAAGAGCTAGACATTTACGTTTCCAATTTGCAGCCTACTTTGCTCTTTGTAGCCTGGCACATGTGCAGTAGAATATTTATTAAGTTATGAATTACCCTATTATCCCAGGTGCCCTGCAAAGGCAAATGCAATCACCTCCCTGCTCTGCTGAACACTTGAGCTATTGAACTTCAGGCGGGGTTGAGAGCAAAACTCAGCCTCACGCTTGGAGAAGTCCAGGGGCGGATGGTGGTTCCTCTACTGCCAAACTGTCCTATGGCATCCTTAGCTGATGGCAGACTGGGATAGATGCCAGTAGACTTTTTTGTTCCATTTTCCTTCTTTAACTGGTTTTAAGGCTTTTCATTTGACAGGCAGACAAATATTTGGCAGCTGGGTTAACTGAAGCATAGAAAGAGGCTCTTTGAGTGCTTCATGAAGGTATTTGCAGCAGATAAATGGCTAAAATAAACAATACGTAAAATTTTCCACATACAGTTAATTTTAAAAATAACCATTCATTTTCTGTCCCTGTTTTCATCTTTGTTCTAGTGGATGAATTCATGAACACAAATGCTAATGCTGCAAAAGTTGATATACAAGTTAAATAATAAGCATCCACGTGACTCCCATTGCATTTACAAATATTTGTGTTATATTGTGTAAAACACTCTTTGTTTTCTTTGCTGCGGTATATCTTACCACGGAATACGGAGGCAACCCATACATCTTCACACTTATGTTTTTGTGCTTCCCGTCCTAATTCTGTATTGAGGACCTGCTCACCTCCAAGTCATATAGTATTTTTATTATTTGAAGATAGTGATGTTGTTACCGCTTTCTTTCTGGGTTGAGATAAAGCGTAATACTGAAAAAAAAAAAAAAAAGAAGCCTTCAAGGAAAGAAGAACAAACAACAGAACAAGCCAGGACCAGGGTTACAGAAGCTTCTGGTTGATGGGAAGCCAGAAGCTCTGTAAAAGAGAAACAGATAAAGGTTCCCCACTTAATTATCAAATATGTTTACCTGCAATACTCCACCCCACCTCCAAATAAAGAGAGTAGCATCAGAATTGTAGCTTATGCTTCTTTTTTCAAAACCTATTTTGAAATGTCTGTTGATATTTCTAGTTGGGAACCAAAGACACTAAACCTTAAGTAAGAGCATGAAGATTAAGACAGAAGATAAAATTCCTGTAATCAACTTAATGGCCCTTTGCTGCACTCCTGGTCCAGTACAGCCATGACTTTCTTGTTCTGGCAGAGTCCTGAGCTGACCAGAGAGCTCCACGTGTCTCACCAGGGCTGAGTGAACAGCGGGGAATAACCTCTTGTAGCAGCGCTCCAGAAGAGCTGGCACCACCCTTTGGAATGCACCACAGATGCTGTTGGCCGCCTTTGCCACAAGGGCGCATTGCTTGCTCATGTTCAACCTGGTGTCTGCCAGCAGCTCCAGGTCCCTGCAAAGCTTCTTTCCAAGCGGTTGGCCCCCAGCCCCCGGCATCGGTTCCCATCAGCTGATTTCTCCAGCTTGGTAAGATCTCTCTGAACACCAGCACAACCATCCAAGGTATTGACTGCTCCATCCAATTCTGTATCAACTGCAAACTTGCAGAGGGTGCACCATCCCATCATCCAAGGCTTTAATGGAGGTGTTAACCTGCACTGTGTCCAGTATTGATCTCTGGGATACACCACTAGTGACTGGTCTCCCACTGGACTTCATGCCATTGATCACAACACTCTGAGCCCAGCGGCTCAGCTGATTTTCAGTTTCCACTATCTAGTCAGTGCTTCATCAGTTTCTTTATGAGAATGTAATGGGAAACAACATCAAAAACACCACTAAAGTCAAGATAAGCAACAACCACTGCTCTCCAGCAGCCAGTAATCTCACTGTAGAAGGCTCCTAAGTTGATCAAACATGATTTCCTCTTGACAAATCCCCTACGATCCCCCAAACACCGTTTTGTCCTTCATTTATTTGGCAATGATTTCCAGAATGGTGCATTCCACCAGTTTCCCAGGGATTTAGGTGAGGCTGACTGGCTTGTAATTTTCTACATCCTCCTTTTTGGCCATCTTGCAGACATGAGTTAGATTTGTTTTCTTCCAGACCTCAGGAATCTCTCCTGACCACACGACCTTTCAAAGGTAGTCAAGAGTTGCCCCACAATGACACTGGCAAGCTCTGTCAGCATTCGTGAGTGCATCCCATCAGGTCCTCTGAACTTCTCTAAGTCTTGTTTAAATGTTCCCTAACCTCATCCTTCTTTACCAACAGTAAGTCTTCCTTGCTTCAGACTCCCCACTGGTCTCTCAACTCTTGCATATTTATTATTTACATTTGAGTTTAATCAGGAGCTCTTTTTTTATCCCTGGGGGCATCCTGCCACCTTTGCCTGATTTCCTGTTTATGAGGACTGAATCTTGAGTTTGTAAAAGGCAATCTTTTAAAACCAACCAGCTGTCCTTGGCCCGTCCTCTTAAGGATCATATCCCAAGGAAGTCTTTAAAAAATAAGTTTTCTGATTACATGATTGACATCTGTATAAGATACATTAGCAGATCCTATATTAAAGGAAATAACAGACACATAGACCTGATTTGTTTAGAAGGAGCCAATATTGCTTTGGCTGGAAGGAGTTGCACTTCACAATTGTGTAGGATTGTATTAGGATTCTTTAGGAGCGCTGTCAGCATGCAGATAAAGCACTGATTGATATGTTCCCTTAGGGTTTCCAAAGGTATTTGAAAAATCCTTCACTGCAAACTTTTGAAAGGTATTAAGCAGCCACATTTAGGAGAGAAAATCCTGCACTGGATAAGTCAAAAGATAGGCACGGGGGTAAAAAGTAAAGTGTCAGTTCTCTCAGCTAGAGAAAGTGTCCACTGGTGTTTCAGGGGATCCTGTGCTGCCCAGCACATCCATAAATGAAGTGCAAGAGAGTGACCCATAAGATAAACAAATTTGTTGATGGTGGAGTTATTTTGGATGTTAACTACAAGGGCCAACTACAAACTGGCAGAAAGAAATTCAAGGTATATGCATTTAAAGTGAAGCAGGCAGGCAAAATTATCCTCATCACATAGAACCAGGGATTCTGAGCTATTAGGGTTGAGATGTTTCTTGATTAGTATTAACTCAGAGCTCAATAGCAATCAAAAAACCCTCAAAACAAATCAAACCTTAGAAGTTACTAAAAACTAGAGACCATCATTATTACAGCAGAGTATGATGTGCCTACATCTTGAATGCTGTGCAGAGTTCTCTCTCACTCGCTGTCAAAAGAGAACCCTGAAAAATTGACAGACATCTGCAGAGCTGATTATACTTCAAGAGTAGGTCTTGGCCATCCAGTATCATTCTGTCAAGTACAACAGAGAATTTGAAGGGTGCTTGATTTTTCACAGAGACTCAAGTAGCACTTGTTGATGCTGAAGGATCATTAAGGAAAAAAATAGCAGTTTTCTAACAGTATAAGCAACCAGCTACCTAGATTGGCAAAATAAATACAACACATAAGCATCTAGGAACTACTAACAAACTTCAATTCCATTTTTTATTATATACTTTTGAAAACTGGAGAAGCACTTTTATTTAAGGCTTGATGTTAAGATAAGGCATGTCAATTGGCTTTATCTAATATTTTATCTTAGATGCCCTCAGCTTATCATTTCAAAAGGTAACTGACTTATCATAATAACTTCTTTAAGATATCTTCTTTATTAAAATAAGTTATGCTACACACACAAAAAAAGTTCTGGTTCTATAGCATAATTATTTTGACAGAGAAAACATGGAAAATATTTTCCAGGATTCACCTTAGGTTTTTTGATTCCAGCCAGCATTTTACAGTTCCGCTTAAGGGGGACGGAAGACCAAGAAATAGTTAAGCTTAGATATGCTTTATAAACCATTAATTTCAATTACCAACCCAAATACCATAAAGACCTACAGAATCATCTCAAATTCACATAGTTGCTCATTTCCAGGATTTCACGGGGCTAAGAACAGATGTGTGTCAGAAATCAGGAAACTGGCTCAATTCCTTGGGGATTTTTTTTTTTCCAGAATGGAAGCAAGGGGGAGGAAGGGTAAAGAAGAAAAACAATTTGACTGAAACATCACTCTTTCTCCTGTCTTAAAAAGAAGCAGAGTCTTTGAGCAGAATGGCAATATCAGCTACAGCAGTTGGCCTCTGATAAGGGCTCAGATGTACAATTATCAGTTCTGATAAATCATGGATCAGAGCTCTTTGTCATCTGCATTGCCTACAGCACTTCCTTTCCCAGACACATTACAGCCAGATTAGGAAAGATAGTAGATAAGACATAAGCAGTGCAGAGGATAGTTCAATGGCAAACACTTTGAGTACCAGCAGAGTATCATTATTACTGCTTTAAGCAAACTTTCTTTACAGTACTTCCAGTATCTTGTCTAATACTGACCCATGCATTATGAAGCACAAATAATCCTCCTTTTACCAATAATTTTTTCCCCAATTTTTTTATTTTTCTAACTCACCCTGTACCTCAAAAACTTGGTAACTTTCTGCTCTGCACAAGATGCTCTTATAATGCTTCAGATATTAAAGTTTGCAGTGTTCCAGCTAGCAAGTTGCAACTAACACTTCCCTCGTAGCAGGGAGGTCTTATAAAAGTACAGGTTGTTAATGTATCTTCTTACTCTTAATAGCCTTAGACTGGCAAAAAGTTTCCTTATTTCAAGATGTATATCATCAGTTCACATTTTCCATATCAAAAGCAGCATACTTACTGGAATTAAGTACATCCAAGAACAAGGGAAAAAAACCCCACTGACACTTTGTATTTATTTTTCTGCATTCACTGATTTGCGATACACACTCATTCCTTGGTAAATGGAGAAGAAAAGCTCAAATGCACAACCCAAGCTAGTGAAGAACTACTCATATCTGACATTTTGAAAATACCAAAAGGTATTAGGTATAAAGAACCTTCCAAAAGCAGCTCCTTAGCCCCTTTTTTTGTACTTCACTTACTTAAAACCAACTATTTTTTTTGCACATCACATTCCCTAGTTTCTCCCTGAGCAAGACAGCACACAACAGATCAGCCTGAAAAAGTTTTATCTGCCAGTGTCTTGATCCTTGTGTCTATTCCCTCCCAAGGTAAGAGCCCACAGTTTTATTAAATCTCTTTATTTATAGTCTTCTTATATCAAAACAGTTTGGTGTGTTTTTTTTTTAGTATAAAAAAACAGCAACAAAACCTTTAGAACACACAGGGGCTAAATTAATTATGTTCAGAGAAAGGGTTAAGGAAAAGTTGACAAAATAAATTTAAAGTGTCCCAAGTTTTCCTAGAGACTCTGTTTGAGGGCTCTGAGGCTGGGAAGCAGCTGGGCTGCACTCAGGCGCTCCTCTACATTGGCCTTCCAGCAGCAGCTAATAATACTTTGGAGTTTCTGGCCCAGTGGTGACTCGTGGAAAATAGCAGCAGCCAGTGAAGGGCGTAAGTTGTAGGCTACCACAGCATAGAGCACGTGCTGCCGCTCTCCCAGGTAGGGCTGCTCCCGCATGACAATTTGCCAGAGCGTGATGGCAAACGAGTAGATGTCTGCTTTGGCAGTGACCCTCTCCCCCTTGAGGAGCTCAGGGGCACGGTGTGTGTATGTGCCCCCTTGCTGGCAAACATGGGGGCTGTGGGACAAGCCCTCCTCCAGTTTCTGGGAGCACCCAAAGTCTCCAATCTTGCACACTCCCTGCTCAGTGATAAAGATGTTTGCAGGCTTCAGGTCCAAGTGCACAATGTCCTGTGAGTGGAGAAAGGCTAAGCCAGTCATGATGTCACAAGAATAGCACACAGTCTCTTCCATGCTCAGGGCCTTCCTTCCACATCCTCCTTCATCATCCTCCCCCTGTCTCCACGTATCACCAGTGCCATAAATCACATGGTGCAGGGTGATGCTGCCCACATACTCCATAATGATGGTGCCCAGGCTGTTCTCGCTGGCTGGGGCACACGTGCTGGCGGCCACCACACGTACCACATTATCATGCTGCAGCCAGGCTACGTTCAGCTCAGCCCAGAAGCTCTGTCGCGATGCCAGCCGGTTTTTGCTGCTTTTCTTCACCTGCTTTACAGCCACGGTTGTACCATGGTAGGTAGCTTTGTAGACAGAACCAAAGCCCCCAGAACCTATGGGCTGCAGGAGGCAGAGTTGCTCCCAGTCAATGGAGCACCAGGCCAGGCGTGGAGGCAAGCGGCGAGTCCTGACTGCAGGAGTTCCCCCCAAAAAGCTTTTGCTGTCTTTGCCAGGGATAACTAAAGGGCTGCTGCAGGGGCGCAAATCTGCAGATGGGGAATACTCAAAAGAAAGAAAACAATTAAGAGGAATAGGTGATGGCATAATAAGATGGAGAAAACCAGAGGCAGTTAATAAGACAGAAGACTAGAAAAATTTCCCCAACAGAAAGGACTCTACAGTGCCTTCCAAAGCCTTTTATCCTCCCTTCACCATTCTCCCTCCCACCCCCAAATGAGCTGCATCTGTCTCAACTAGCTGAACCAAATCAGTCTCACCTGGAAACATTCTTCTCCAACCCTGAAGCAAATCTCTAGAAAGTCAGAGCAAATGGATTTAAAGCTAAAAAGTTAATAACTCATAAGTATTTCACATCATTTCTAATCTCAAAAAGAAAGATGTTCTGCCCATTGAATGCCTCTAGTAAAATGCCTCAGGAGTTAATAAAGCAGTGACTAGTGAATGCATTTCACCATGACTCCAGGCAGGAATGATCAGCATCAGGTGCATTAAACAGCTCAAAGTCTTTGTCAGTGGAAGTAACTGAAATGGTGAGTGCTAACATTTGATGAGGCTACAGCAGGCATAACTAAATATAAAAGTGTGTTTGTAGAAACCTACCACTTCAACATGACTGGGACAAAGGGACTGGTTTGGCTGCTCAGTTCTGCCCATGCAGGACAGCAACCTTAATAGCAGCATAAATACAAATGATTGCTCCATATCATCCTTTGGATATAGTAACTAGAATTATATATAAGTACTTGGTAATCTTCCCATCACACTCCATGCAGTTACTAGAGGTGTGTATTTTATTTCTGGATCCTCCTTTGAAAACTTACTGCTGAATTTACAGAGCTGTTCTGGTAGAAATAAAAAAAAAAATGTAATTTCGCCCTGGTGTTTCTTCACAGAGGCTTTTGGAATTTTGACCCTGCTTTCACATATTCACAGTGGTCATTCTAACTGCCATAGTGTTCAGTACCTGCTGTACTGCCCAGGTATCAGAGCACACTTATGGAACCTATACAGCTAACAGCTTTTGAATATTCCAGTAAGTAACTTTCTGTACATGCTGACAAGCATCTTGGAAAGACTGGGCCTCATTTCCCACCTCCTCACCCTTCAGAACCTTCCTCTGGATGTCAGCTTTGTTGGTGTGGATCCTGCCATGGGACCTCAAAGATTGGCAGTGCCTGTTTCTCCAGAGTTTACCTCTGGGCAGTACTGGCTCTGCAGGCAGTTCCTGCAGAGTCTTCCTGGTATTTTCTGTTCTCTTTCTTTTGCTTCTCTGGATAAGATGCAGCACAGGTCACCGAGGGAGGTTTCAGGGGTACTCAGAACATGTTCAAGCAGAACTGGAGTGTTCTCCACTTTGAGATGGATTCAGTTGCTCACCTCAACAGGCAAACCTGATGTCCAAAAGGCATCTTCTGATCCTACTTGAACTCTAGAGAGTGAATTCATTCTGTAGTAAATCAGTGACGGAGATCTTCCCCAGTACTGAGACTATCAGGAGAAATTTGTCACAGCAATTCACAGGGAAGCAAGCTTGGATCAGAGATTAGTGTGAATGGGAAATTTGGGTCATCACCTGGCAGTGTGTGAGACAGACAGGCAGTGAAAGAACTTATAAACAAGTGCTAAGAGGAGTTGTTACCAAGGGAGAGTGCGAAGACTTAAGCATGGCAAAAGGCCTCTCAGTGGCCCTGGGTACAACAGTTCCTGCAGATGAGACTGGTTGACAGCACAAGGCTCTTCTTTCCTGGCCCCTCCCAGAAGAGACTAACAGTTCAAGAGGCCCCTGGACCCCTCAGGTGCTATCAAACCCTGTGAGCTTTCTTTGTACAGTACAAGCCAGCCAGGTAATACCCTGTTGCTGCCTGCTCCTTGGAGCAGCTCTCTGGTTGGAAGCACTGCTCAACATCAGTTACACAGGGTTGTTTGGGGGTGGGGGGAGGACCAGAAGATCTTTAGTGTATTCACTTTCCTTTTCTGAGCAGCACTGTGATGTTATACTTGTAAATAAAAGTCTTCACTTCCAATCTTTGCAGAGAATGTTTTCTATGCAGGTGAGCTGTGATGGAAACATAAAGCTGCAGAAAGCTGATGAAACTATATGGAAGAAAGATTTTTATGCCTGTTTTCTGAGTACTATTAGGGCTCCAATTCTTCAATGGGCTTCTCTGCCAAATAGCATATAAAAGCACCAGAAAGACATTTCTGCTCTGAATTCTCCAAGAACTTAAACCTGTTTTCACCAGGTTAAGCTGGCAGTGAAGTTCAAAGGGCAAGTTGGTTGTGGGAGAGGCACAGGTAGAAGGATGCATGGATGAAGAGACCTGTTAAGCTGCCAACTATAGCAGCATATCTGATGATTCAGAATGCTATAGAACACAGCAGTAAAATCTATGTTCATAAAACAGAGGGTTAGAATTAGGGTTGTTTCCAAATTTCTTTGATCGAAATGTCATTCAGAAGGGTATACTAGACCTTCCATATTACTATTTCCAAACTTTATGTCCACTTCTTTCAGTTGTCCCTTTGTTGATAATTTTCCTGTTACCCTTTTCTGCTAGCAACCTTTCTGTTTTGCCCCTGTCATGGCAGACATGTTGTATTGTTCTCGGGGAATACACTGAATTTTTGAACAGGAACTGTCTTAATGTAACTTACTGTCTTGTCTCAGACTTATTGCTGTGGACCAAAGCAAGGGAACATCCAGTGTCTTTCAATGTGAACACAATTAAATCAGATTAAAATGCAAGGAGGCTTTTATTAAGAATAAAGATTATTTTCCTCTAATCCATTAATGACTTGGCCCAGTGACATCACAGGAGACACAACTGCTGTATGACATCCTTGCCATGCTTCACAGCCTCGTTTAGCTCCAGCATTACCACAGGCTGGAGTAGGGAAACACAGCGAGGCCTAGGGACCAGCTGCTGGGGACAAGCTGCCCCTTCCCTACCAGCTGCTCTTCCCCAGGGAACCCACAGCAACCTCCAACCACACTGTTCCCACTGCACTGCTATTTCCACAAGGAGAAAGGAAGCTGTAGGAACCAGAAGTCATTAGCAGAAAATGCAACAGGAACTTTTACAAGTGACAAGAGGGAAACACACAGTCTGTGTCCCGTGGGCTGCAATATGTCACAGCTACAATAACCTGCAACAGCAATAATTTTGTTCCAAGCTTGTGTATTTCTGCAAGTAAAACACACCTGTGCATCCAGTGTTGCAATAGCTGCCCAGCCTAATCTGTGCTTCTGGCTGGGAAGGTATACAGAATCAGTCTAGCTCAGTTCCTCCATTTATATTTCACTTGTTTATCAGGAATATAGAAACTCTTTGTTTGCTGTCGTTACTTACTACTGCTGTTTAACTGGTCATTGGACAGGAGAAGTCAGGCCCAACACCAAGGGCCCTTTTTAAAGGGCTGATATGGATGTAACACAGGACACATACCAAAAATCAGAGTTTCATTTTGATTGAGGTGCATTACTCTTGTGGTTAACAGCCAAAGTTTTGTCTAAAACAGGTGAAGGACAGAAATGGGAATTGGAACTGTTTTCACAGAGAGTTTAAGAGTATATATCCTTCTCCATAATCATTACTTTATTTCTTTGTACATTTGGTTGGTGTACCATATAACAAACCCTTGAAGGCTTGCCCGTCCAGAGGCTCCTAAGAACTGCTTTACAATACATTGTGTTTCTAATAAGGTACTTTGTAATCTTGCTAAAGGAGCCAAATGTAGCTCTTCAGGACTTAAATTACAGTCCTAGTCAGAGCAAGACAGTTCCTTTGCCTGTTCCTTCGTGACTTCTGAGAGGTTTTCTTCTCTGTTTCAAATAAAAGTTTTCTTTTTCCTCCATTTACTGTCAGTCCCTGTGATCTCAGTTTGGGATTTGATGATGAACCTACATTCTCCTTACACACATAGCGTTTCATGGTCCAAGCGTTGCTTCCAGTCACAACTCATAGATCTCAAATGATATTCAGAGTTGCCTGAAAGGAGTTCTGATATTATCAATTGCACAGGTGTAAGTGATACCATTATCTGAAGCCAGTCCCTACAAGGCTTTCTCTGAAGATAGGCCACTGATTAACTACTTTTTTTTTTTTTTTTTTTTTTTTTAACACTAAAAGCACAAACCAGGAAAAAATCGAGTTCATGTTTCAGAGTTTGGCTGTTTTGGTGAGACAAATGACACCTTGGAACAGCAAATATAAGCAAGTTTTCTTTAAAGCAGTGAGAGGTAAACCCAAATGCAAAGAAAAAATACATCTGCAAGAAATGTGATGTTATTTTACTGCTGAGACATAATAATAATAAATATTTTAAAAGGTTAAACCCTAGTTTATAAATAATAAGATCAAGTTTCAAACACACATTGCCAAACAGCTGCTTGATGCTTTTTTTCCTTCACAGAAAGGTTACTCCATGCATTCAAGAACATGAAGCAAAGGCTCTCCTTACCTGAACACACAGGTTTTAACTGGAGACACTGGCAAGGCAAGTGAGGTTTCACAGATGATTTACTGGGGCCTCAGTGACCAAGGTGGATCAGGGATAACAATCTGGGATCTGCTGCTCTAGATTAATATCACAGTTTCAAAAGAGTACCTTGCAAGAAGCTAAGAGAATCTAAACTTAGGGATAAAGACAATGAAATGTGACATACAGGCTCTCACCCATAGCAATATTTTCTGGCCATGCAAAGACAGACACCTATGCTGGCAAGTTGACTGTTGTCATGTGGCAGGCAGTTTCAGTATTTTCAGCCAAATGGTCCAAGATGGGTTTTGCAGTCTTGCCCCTGGAGCAAAGCTGACTTTGCTGGGTCACAGGGAAATGCCAAATATAGTGGTAGAATATGGGACTTGTAGCTTAAGGACTAGAAAAGAGCTTCAGTGCTTAATGAGAAAAATTAATCACATACAGCAAAGGGCCCAAGGAGGTAATGTTAGTGCTAGTCTAGTGCTGGGAGGCTGCTGCCTTCCCAGGTACATAGATCTAATGCTGATGTCTAGGACTGATGCATAAAGGGGTCAGTCTCTCCCAGTAGCTTGCAGAAGCCCATTAACACAGATCATGCCCAGCCCTGTGACTGTATATTAAATACACTGCCATAGCAAATGTGGTGGCTTCCTGCAAATACCACCTCTTTGCAGAGTTGTAGAGGGGAAAGGGCAAGAGGATCATCCAAATTTGGTGGCTCTGAAATGATGACCTGGCTACTCTGGTGGGCCATAGCAAATTCTCAGAGGCTGCTGTAAGTTAAAGGGTTTTAAACCTGACTGATTAAAATGGGTTATACAGTTCAAGTACATTGTTGCAATTCATAAATTTTCATCAGTGAGTAAGCAGAAGCTTCTTGTAAAAATACTGCTGAAGAAAAATATGCCTAAGCTGAAGAGAAGAGAGCACATAAACTATGGGACAACCCTGTAATACTTTATTGGCATAAAGAGCCAGACAGTGACGAAATAAGAGGAGACAATTTTCAGGCGAGGACAGACTTCAGAAAGTTTGCGAGTTTAGTCTGTATTTATTTGTCATGAATGTTTGATATTTGATATTCCTATGTTACATCTCAGACATTGCTCGCTTATGGCATGCCCCTTAATCATACAGAGCCTGTATTTTATTTTTATTTTCAATGTAAGTACTTGTGAGGGAACTTAAGGATTTACCCATGACCATGTGTGAAACAGTTTAATACAAAAGCCAGTAAGCCAGTTGAGTTTAATTTCAGAGGCACAGCCTACAGAACTTTTCTGCTGAAATTGTATCTAGTACTACACAAGGACAGCTGACAAACACCTTCCTTGCGGGAGTCTGTGCACCCCTTAGATAAATT